GTAAAGTAAGAACAACATCTAAAGTACAGGCAACATGTAAAGTTCAGGCAACATGTAAAGTACAGACAACATGTAAAGTACAGACAACATGTAAAGTACTGACAACATGTAAAGTACAGACAACATGTAATGTACAAACAGCATGTAAAGTACAGGCAACATGTAAAGTACAGACAACAAAGTACAGACAACATGTAAAGTACAGACAACATGTAAAGTACAGGCAACATGTAAAATACAGGCAACATGTAAAGTAGAGACAACATGTAAAGTACAGACAACATATAAAGTACAGATAACATATAAAGTACAGACAACATGTAAAGTACAGACAACATATAAAATACAGACAACACGTAAAGTACAGACATGTAAAGTTTAGACAACATGTAAAGTTCAGACAACATGTAATGTTCAGACAACATGTAAAGTCCAGACAACATGTAAAGTCCAGACAACATGTAAAGTCCAGACAACATGTAAAGTACAGACATCATGTAAAGTACAGACAACATGTAAAGTACAGACAACATGTAACATACAGACAACATGTAAAGTACAGGCAACATCTAAAGTACAGACAACATATAATGTACAGACAACATGTAAAGACTTGATCAGCGTCATCTTCTCAAACATCTGGAGCAGCAGCCACAAAATACCTCAAGTTGATTTGTTTCTAAATGTTTAAACTGACATTTTTCCTCCATGTATACAGACGGTTAGGACACCAGTCTGAGTGATCCCTACAATATGGTTCTTTAAATACGAAATACTCCTAGTACTTAGTGATATTACTTTTAAAAATAGTATTGTACTCAGTGGCCAAGAGTTCCACATGTCGACCTGTAGGTGGCACTATTTTCAAGGGAAGCACACTTTGATCTTTGCCCTCCAAAATAAAAGCTTATTTTGATGTTTGCGTCTTCTTGTGCAGCATGACCTGAAATACGACGTGGGCGGAGGGGAGAAGTTCGACTCTCTTACGGACTTGGTGGAGCACTACAAGAAGAACCCCATGGTGGAAACGCTAGGTACGGTGCTTCAGCTCAAACAGGTTCGTCTCGTTTCCTTTCAGTCTGCAGAGTACAACGGCTTTCTGTTCGTCAGGAGCATTTTGTAAACGAGTCCGGCCTTCTCCCTGGTCCGCAGCCTCTAAACACCACTCGTATAAACGCAGCAGAGATCGAGAGTCGAGTCCGGGAATTGAGTAAACAAGCGGACGCGACTGACAAGTTCAAGCAAGGCTTCTGGGAAGAGTTTGAGGTGAGTTGTTCTGGTGGAGAGGATACATGTTCCCTCCAGAGGGCTTTGGTCCAGGTCTTCACTGAGCTAAATGCTCAGGGAGGTGCCCGGGTGTCTGTGGACAACGTGGCCATGGCAGGGAATAGAACCTGCAACTTTCTGGCCCCAAGTCAGCTGCCCTTCCACTGCTCCACAGGGACTTGAAGTGTCGGGTTTGAACGTGTTAAATGCTGTAAAAAAAAATTAAAAAGTGACTTTTGATTTTGTTTTCCTGTTCAGACCTTGCAGCAGCAAGAGTGCAAACTTCTGTACAGCCGCAGAGAGGGACAGAGAGCAGAGAACAAGAACAAGAACCGATACAAGAACATCCTGCCCTGTGAGGAATCCACCCTGCTTTCCAGAGATCGAACACCTCTGAGTTTTATGAACCACCTAACCACCGTACTGTTTGCTTCTGTCGACAGTCGACACCACGCGTGTGAAGCTGGCTGATGGGGACCCTGATGAACCAGGCTGTGACTACATCAACGCAAACATCATCACGGTACAAGCAGCTGGCAGACGCTTTAATGAGCTGCTGAACACGATGAAGTGTGAAGTTCAGTGAGCTCCTGTTGACTGTTGTGAGACTCCAACAGTGTGACTGGTCCAGCAGAACCAGGCTCAGGGCTCTGAACAGAAACATTCACACACATTATAAAAGACAAAAAGTTCTCTATCTCAGGAAGCGGCAGGTTGTGTTGAATCTTCTCTTCATCACAGTCTCTCATCCTGAGCTAGAACAAAGGACACAGTGGGAAGAAAAAAACTCCCTTTAACAGGAAGAAACCTCCAGAATCAGCTCAAGACGAACGGCTTCGACCGGCTGGGTCTGAGAGGAAATGAAGTAGAAACAGAGAAAACAGGAAGTAGAAACAGAGAAAACAGGAAGTAGAAATGGAGAAAACAGGAAGTAGAAACAGAGAAAACAGGAAGTAGAAACGGAGAAAAAATGGAAGTAGAAACAGAGAAAACAGGAAGTAGAAACGGAGAAAACAGGAAGTAGAAACAGAGAAAACAGGAAGTAGAAACAGACACAGAATGACAGGTCCAGGTGAACGTTCTGTAGTCCAGTTGAACTTTCTATAGTCCAGGTGAACGTTCTGTAGTCCAGGTGAACTTTCT